ACTACTATATTCCAATTCGGAGTTGAGTTAATAATTTTTAGTATTAAAATAAGTGTATTACTATCGTCCAGGGGCATAATAATGACATACTCCTGGTAGAGACTCCTTTTTAGATGTATTCATACATAATATTAGGTGAATTTTTTTTTGAAGCATCTTCAAACGGAAGCCGAACTTTTTTTTCCATTATCGGTATTTCTTTGTAGTTGACTTATTGTTTGTATGGACTATACTAAAATATATACCTACTTAAGATTAAATTATTGCATGTATTTTTAAATGATTCTATTTTCTTCATTTATTAAAAAAAAAAAACAATAATTCACCACCAATACTAAAGTGTGTATGGGAAATTTTTTAAATCTAAAAATTTCTTATTTGATTATAGAGTTTCCAAGTGATACAAAAGAGAAAATGGTACTAAACTATGTTGTTTCTTTGCCTATTTATATATAGGTATCAAAAGGGAACCTAAGTTTTGCGAATGTTTTCGCGCGACAGGCGAATATTTTTTTGTTCAAAATTTCGCGATCTTTCCAAGAGTATTTAGTTTGACTGCAAAAGCAATGAGTGTATAAAAACAACATCGATATAGTTATTTTCAACCCCATCAGCCACCCTTAACGCAACGGATGATGGTCGGCATTCGGTAATTAAATTATTTAATAATTCGATGGGTGGCTCATTTTTTTAAATTAATAACAATTTTTTATAACAAAACTTAAACAATATTGGGGCGACTGCCGACGGATTACTACTCCACAAAATATTACCCGACGTTCCCATAAAATGTTAACCATATACTAGTAATGATTGTCAACTTTTATGTACAAGTAAATGTCTTAAAATTTCTACAAACTACCCAAGTCATTTGCTATCTATTATATATTCTTTCTATGAGAAAATCCATCCTTATATAATTTCTATGCTGACACATCTTTACCACATTTGTACAGAATAGAAATAATGATGGCAAAGTGGTACTGAGAACATAACAGCTACTAATGGAACTACACACATCGCTAAAATTATTGGACCGCCTTATGTTTGTCAAAATGAGACACTATTATTAAAAGTCAAGAAGTGTGTTACATAGTACATTTAATTTGGTTATGTATCCAATACAAATTGGCTGAATTAAATTTTAACTGAACAAGAAAAAAATACAAACGAAAAATAGTGCATAATAAAATAATTACTAGAATTTGAAATCCAGAAGAAAACCACTTTAGAGTACCACTTTAGAAAACCAGAAACAATATCACTGGAAGGAACATGCTCATCTATACAGATAGCAGACAAGCACTACTCACCCTGAACAGACCACGAATTTATTCAGGGTTAATACTAGAATATCACGAAGCTTTGGCCGAAGTATCTGTAATGTTTGGAGTAGAGAACAACAGACAACAGCTAGTGTGGTAATATGAAGGCAACACATTTCGAAGAAAGGTTTTATTTAATATATTACAACTAGTAATAATTGATACAGGCACTTCGACCGTAAGCCTGTCACAACTGACAACTAATGATATATGACACGCTCTTTACAAAAAAAAAATAAAAATAATAAAACTGAAAGTTAACAACTTTTAGAATAAAAGGTTTTTAAAAAAAATAAACTAAAATATAAATTTTAAATCTAAGTAAGGTGACCGCTTGATAACTGATACTCTGGATCATTGGTAACTTATGATGTTCGTAGTGGTCTAATCATCTGTCTATTTCTACGATATTCAGCTTCTCCTATCTCAACTATATAGTCGTTAGGGCCGGCTTCCCTTACAATTTTTGCAGGAACCCAATCACGAGTACCTTTTTGAACCAAAACTTTTTGTTCTGGTATCAATTTTGACAACTGCTGGGTAGAATGGTTATAGTAATTCTCTTGTCTGCAATGTTTGTTTTATACCTTCCATTATTATTATTCTTTTGTGAAAGTAGTACCTACAGACTTCAATTTACTATTTATTATTAAATATACAAATAATTTTAATACCTACTAATTTCATTTGGTATAAAACTTAAGTCAACCGCCTGCCATTGAAGATAAGCTTCTTGCATATTATGAAAATATAATATCCTAATAATAATTGAAAAACTTATAATGGCTATATCTCATAAACTAAACAAGATGATATCATCAAAGGCCTGAAACCGGTTCTAGTATAAGAAAGGGAAAATTAAATAACAAAATACATAACTTACTTCACATCAACCTCCTATGCGATACCTACATTAACAATAAAAAAATGGCGACCACCTACTTGCCATTTATATCATTGAAAAGCTAGTAAAAATTAAAAACTCGTTTAAAACGAAGATTTCATGTTATCAGAATTTATTTATTTACGCGATTACCCCCAATTAAAATACAAAATGAAAAAAAAGTAATAAAAATTTATTAATCTACAACTAATTAATGTAAGTTTAATAAATTAAATTTTATAGTGAATATTTTTTTACTTATTTCGTCTGCAATTTTTGAAACCTGGATAGGCTTATTTTAAATGTTAGGCGATATGAGACACTTTAAAAATATCTTCTATTTTATTAAACAAAAATAAAATTTATTTAGTACTTCTCTAAACTTAAATAAGTAATTTAGAAAAAGCAAAAAAGGTGGCTTACATTTAAAATATATATATTAGACTGGGCCAAAAAAATAAAAGCGGAACTATGAAAATATTGTTCATGATGACAAAAAAAAATTTCCTGAAAGTTTGAGCCCTTAATAATAATATTAAGAGGTGCATCATTGCAGTTATTGATTTTTCAACAGTTGTCGCGTTTTTGCATAAATTTCGGATTTGGTCAATTTTTAAAAAAAATTTCATCTCTTCTAGTAAATTTTCGTAAGACGAGTGAGTCTATTCTTTGTAATCGAGTTCATTTTGGAAATCCCAAATGCAAAGTGAAAAATTTAAATATATACCAATGTTTAAGGCACGATTACAAAGAATAGACTCGTCTTACGAAAATTTACTAAGAGAGCTTTTTTGTGGGGAATTTAATTTCCTACAAGGACAAGAGATGAAAAAATTTTTTTTAAAATTGACCAAGTCCGAAATATTATTATTAAGGGTTCAAACTTTCAGGAAATTTTTTTTTGTCGTCATGAAGAATATTTTCATAGTTCCGCTAAGAAAAAAAATTGTTTAATTTTTTGGACCAGTCTAATATATATAAAACACTTTACGTAGGTACTTGTTTTTGTCACATATAAGAGATACATATTAAATCAGAACTTATGTTTTTAAATATTCATTTCATTGAGAAATATAAAATAAATTGTTTTTATTAGGTTCTGTAGTAAGGTATTAACTCGCCTGTACATGGAAACAATAAGAGTGTTAATGTAATCCATTGGGATATTGTTCCATTCTTCTTGGGCCACGACTGTGAGTTCCTAGAAGGTGAGAGGACGATTAATTCTATTTGGGATTGCTTGTTCAACAACATCCCACATGTGCTCAATGGAATTCATATCTGGCGAATTTGCTGGCCACGGTAATCTTTGAATATTCTGAATTTTTAGTGCATTTTGTACGCTTCTCGTGCGATGGGGCCTAGCATTGTCATCCATGAAAATAAAATTGGCTTCAATTTCATTTCGGAGAGGATAAATAATGGGTTCAATAATGTTTCAAACATATCTATTAGCTTTCATAGTGTCTGGAATGAAAATAAGCTGCGTACGACGACCATGCATTATGCCTCCCCAATACATTACTGTTCCTCCTTGGTATGGAATGACTTCTCTGGCAAAAGATAGTCTTTCTGGTCTCCTTGGCTCTCTTCAAACTCTGTGTCGCCGACTATCACTAATTAAACCATATCTAGTTTCGTCCGAAAGAAGAACATTTCGCCACTGATCTAAAAGCCAGTCTCTGTGTTCTTGTGCCCACTGTAGACGAGTAGCTATATGTCTGGGAAGTAACCTGGGTACTCTTAATGGTCTCCTAGATCGTATATTGACTCCAGCAAGTATCCGCCGTATTGTGGTACTGGAAATGAATCGACCATACATTCTTCTAAAATGAGTTCGGACAGCTGAGACTGTTACGGTTCGATTCCGACGTACATAACCTGCTACATACCGATCTTTTCTTAGATTAGTTACCCCAGGATGCCCAGTCCTAAGTCTCCAGTCAAGGCGGTTAGTTTCCTGGTACAACGCACTATTCGGATAACTGAATCGCGGGGAATCACTGGTCTATCTGCGATTCGATGATTCGGCAGACCCTCATCATGCAAAGCCACTATTCTATTCTATTGTCAGGCATAGTTGCAAAGAAAAACTGAACAATCACTTAAACACGCAAAATCGATATAAACCACTTTTTAAACATTGGTACCTAAAATTGTGGAAAATTGTTTTTGTAAACATTTTTAGATGCGTATCAACGGTGAAATAAATAAAGATTAAATATACAAAAAAGCAGCCATGATAAATATTTCGTTTTAATATTTACTAGGGGGGTCCAAAAACTTTGGCGATGTGATATAGTCAGTTCTTCTTACTTTCTTATTCATACTTGTGCCTATATGTAAATTATTAGAATTATAATTGTCATGATTTGATTTGGGGTTAGGAGTTGTTACTTTTACATTAGCTGATATTTGAGTTTTTGAAATAATTTTAGTTTCAGTACTAGCTGCTACAATGATTTTAGAAAAAAACAGGAGCAGTTAAATTTGAGGGCGTAGTCACATTTTTTAAAGGCGTTATCGCCTTCACAATTTTATTTTTTTCTAAAATAGTTGACTTTTCAATTTTTATATTAATAGTACTTAAACTTTTCCTTTCAGTATGAGTCGTATCGTAAATTGTAGTTTTAGTATTGTTTGCAAGTGATGTGTTTTTGGTTTCAACAATAACATTCTTAACTACTTTTAATGAGGTGTAATTTATTGCAATATTTATGTTTCCGTAAAAATATTTTTGCCGCAGGTCGATATTCCCCCACTTTCCCCTAATTTCCTGTGAATATATTTACCTGTATTTGTTCGAAAGGTACTTCAAATGTAAACGATTCATTATAATAAGGATTCAGAGTGCATTTTTTAATACTAGTCTTCTTCTTCTTCAGCCGCTTTCCATTTTGCATCAAGGCGATCTTCACATAAGGATCTAAACAATAAAATATAATTAATTTTCTACTTCTCTTTACCACTTTACGTATTTACTAATTCATATAGTGTTACTGTACGAACTGTTTCATATATTTTGAAGCTCAAAATATGACGTAAAATAATTATTATAAGGCTTGAGAACAGAGTATTGTTGTGTATGTCAAGACCAATAGATTTCCGAATATACAGTGCAGCTCAAATGTATGAAATAATGAGTGTAATTTTTTAAATATCGAAAATTTAAAAAAAATATTTTAATAAAAGTTGTTTTATAGTTAATTTTCAATTTTATGGCAACTAAGTAAAAATTATACCTAACCCCCAAGAGAAGTTAATTTTTTTAATTCAAATCGCATAATTTGATGATACTGACACTTCACAAAATATACAATTGTACTTCAATTATTTATTTTGTAGTAGATACCCTAGGTCAAAAACGGTTCAGAAAAAAATTGTATGTATGTTTCATTTTTAATAATAAAAGTTATTGTTCACAGTTATTCATTGAGTAGAAATTATCACTTTTGCACAAGTGATGTACATTATTTTTCCTACGATCACAATATTATATGATCAAATAAAGTAAAACTTTTATAGTATATTGCTAAGTACAAAAACATTAAAATTTTATGTTTTTAATTAATTTTTTTTTTAAATATACAAATAGGAGAAAAAAATGTAAAAGAACTTTTTATTATTATTAAAGATGATACCTACTTACTTACTTATTATTTTTTTCTGTACCGTTATCAAAATAGTACAAAATAAGTAGAGGAGAGATTAACGGATTGCCTAACTGTAAATGTTACATTATGATAAAAAAAATTATTTAAAATAAATAAGCAGAATGTCGTATTTTACATTTTTCATATTTTTTCCAAAAAGAAAAAATGCTTTTATCGGGAATTGAACTCGGATTGCAAAATCCAAAATTTAGCGTTTAACGTCCTAAGCCTGAAGACTTATATCAAGTTAATTATATAATCAAATATGTAACATTACGGGTTTTTTAAGATGTCTTCGACGACGCTTCACCACAGGGACTGCAATAAAATATTTCCATGTTCTACAAAGTAAGATTAAAAGAAAAAATCTGATGTGTCCAACACATGACTTTCCTATCTAGTTATTATAGGCTTTTTCCGGTTATTTTGTACAACCTATTGCAGCATCTCTATAAATGTTTAGAGGATAAACCAAATATATACATTGTCCACATACATCTACCTCGAAATATTTTTCTATAGATATTCATTGAAAACGAAAATACTGAAAAATTTAAAATTAGCACTTTTTCATTACGGTCCATTTTAGAAAAATCATGTATAAACAAAAATTATAGAGATCGATATCGCAAACAACTTTTAGTTCAACAATTTTTATAAAAATCAGAATTTTGCACATTTTGTCAAATTTCTCGAATACGGACCATTTCAGGAAATTTTGACATAAAACAAAAATTATAGATAATAATATTAGAAGTAACTTTTATTTGAACAATTTTCTTCTCCAAACATAAATAACAGATATATTCCATAAAATATAAAAAACGGCCTCCCATAAAGTACCCCCCAGATGTTCCGACTTTGTCCAAAATCTAATCATTTCACGTCAGGCCGAAATAAACCTTAAGTTTAAAATTTAATGTATTTTTCTTTATCCGTTTTTGAGTTTTCTTCAAAATTCGAAATTTACATTCTCTCAAATATCTCGAATACGGTCCATTTTAGAGAAATTATGTGTAGAATAAAAATTATAGAGAATTATATTGCAAACAACTTTTATTTAAACAATTTTTATAAAAAATTATTTTTTTACATTTTGTCAAATTTCTCGAATACGGACCACAGACATCATCGCGAAAATCCGTCGAAACCTCGAGATCGAAAAAAATCATGATTCCTATACTTTTCTTATATCTGTATACAGATAGGAAAGTAAAAATTGTAGTTTTGTCTTGCGTAAATAACAATTATTTATTTTAAACTCATTTTATTAATCATAATATTTCTACAGTTAGGTTATTTGTTAATCTTTTTGCTATTAATTTTGTGTTATTTTGATAACTTCAGAGGTAGGTATAAGTAAGTAAGTAAGTACGTACCATCTTCAATAATAAAAAAAGTTTGTGTTCATAGTTATTTAGCTTATTATTTATTGTAACTATATAAGAAATAAACTAATGAAAAATATTATTCTATTCTAATATTTTGTGTACATTATAGGTTTACTTTCAAGAAACCAAAGCCCTTCTCATCAAATACATGTTCAAAATTATAAAAAAGAAAAAAGCCCTTAAAGGCCCAGAGTCAGTGTTGCCAGAATATATTTTTGTAATGTACCAGATTTATCTAAAAAATGTACCAGATTTCATAAAAATGTACTAGATTCTATAAAATTACCAGCTTTTTCTAATTATGAAGTATGGTCATTAAAGATCAAAAAAAAGTTTATAGAGAACACGAACACAACAATTTTAAACAATATTTTATCTCTCGACAAATTTCTGACACTATTTTATATCTCGAGCAGTTTTTGAATAAGATTTTAAAACTTTTTGATACTCTTTTATCTCTAGAACAGTTTTTAAATCTTTTTTTAACTCTTGAGCTATTTTGAAACAATATTTTATCTCTCGATAAATTTCTAACAGTATTCTATCTCTCGAGCAATTTTTAATAACTTTTTTTTATCCCTCGAGCAATGTTTGTACAAAATATTTTGTAAAATGTTTAACACTATTTAATCATTCGAGCAATTTTTGAAAAAGATTTTAATACCTTTTGATATTATTTTTATCTCTTGAACAGTTTTTAAACAACTTCTTTTATCTCTCTAGCAATGTTTGTTCAATATTTTTTTTAACACTATTTATTCACTCGAGCAATTTTGAACAGCCTTTTTTTACCTTTTAAGCTATTTTTAAACCATATTTGATCGCTCGTGCAATTTTTGAGCCAAATTTTAATAATTTTTAACACTATTTTATCTCTCGAGCAATTTTTATTAACATTTTTTATCTTTCTAACAATTTTTAAACAATGTTTTATCTCTCGAGAAATGTTTAACAGTATTTTTTAATTCTCGAGTAATTTTTGAATAAGATTTTAATAACTTATGATACTATTTTATCTCTCGAACAATTTTTAAACCTTTTTTTTATCTCTTGAGCTATATTTAAACAATATTTTATCTTTCGATAAATTTCTAACATTATTCTATCTCTCGAGCAATTTTTAACAACTTTTTTATCTCTTTAGCAAACTGCACAATATTTTAACTCTCGACAAATTTATAAAAATATTTTAACTCTCGATAAATTTTTGACAATGTTTTATATCTCGAGCAATGTTTGTACAATATTTTATCTCTCGAGCATTTTTTAATAGTATTTTATTTTTCGAGGAATTTTTAAACAATGTTTTATCTCTCGAGAAATTTCTAATAGTAGATATCTCTTGAGTCAATTTTGAACAATATTTTATTTCTCAACCAATTTTTCAATAGTATTTTATCCCTCGAGCAATTTTTGAACAAGGGTTTAACATTTTGTAATACTATTTTACCTCGAGCAATTTTTGAACACATTTTAACATTTTAACAATTTATTATACTATTTAATCTCTGAAAAATTATTAAATATTTTTATTTCTCATTAAATTTCTGACAGTATTTTTATCACTATAGCAATTTTTGAACAATATTTTATCTCTCAAGCAATTTCCAATACTATTTTATACTTTGATCAATTTTTAACACCTTTTTTACCTCTCAAGCCATTTTTGAACAATATTTGATCTCTCGTACAATTTTTAAACAATGTTTTATCTCTCGAGAAATATCTACTATTTTATCTCTGAAGTAATTTTTAACAACTATTTTAATTTCTCTTGCAATTTTTGACTAATATATCTTATACTTCAAATAGGAACATACGCTGAAAAAAGTACTAGATATTGTGTCGAGTGTACTAGAGTACCAGATTCTCAGAGAATGTACTAGATCTAGTACAATTGTACTAGACTGGCAACACTGCCCAGAGTAATAACAAAAGCTGTGGAAGATGTGCAAATTAACATGGTGCAAATTCCCAATAAATTAGTCAAAAAAACAGCACCTCAAACCGGTATGAACGGTGTTTCAGATTGACTCTGGCGAGTGAAATTCAATACATGTTTTTTTAGGTTTGTCGCTACGAACTAGCCATAAAGTATTGAAAACGTTTCTGATAATGCATCCCCTATAAAGTTTCGGTACTGCAACAATCATTTTACATTAATTTTGTTAAACTTACCTATGGAATATTACAGATCACTCAATTCAAAATCGTTTGTGTGACGTTATAAACTAGAGCACCTATATTAAATGAAATACAAAATATAACTGAGGAGAAAGTGAAGAGCTTTGTTTTGGTTCCGAAATTACAACGGTTCAAGAATTTTATTTGGACTAAGCAGAACAGGTTGCGCAGTGACAAAAATAATAAAACTGATTCAGAATCGATTCAAGAAAGTATATCAGACAACTCAGGATATTCGCACACTTGAATTTTTTATTTGCTAAAAAATTATCGCCTATTTAGCCGATAGTAAACTACGATTTTTTGTACTCACAAATGGGAATAAATATACCTACATACATGAGTGGATATGTCTGATATTTAATGATTAACTATATATTGGAATCTCAAAAACGGATCATACTAAAATTATGAAATTATACGAAGGTATTAATTGCTTGCAGCTAATTACAAAAATAAATAGATAGTACATTTGATGGACCGAATTGAAAAATATAGGGTGATTCTGAAAAATGAATATTTCTTTAATTGTTGGGGCATCAAAAACGAATTTGATGTGTCTATCACCTTGTATTCAATAAAAAGTATTATTTTCTAGGTATTAAATGCATAATCAATATTAATAACAAATTGCCTAATATACAGAGTGTAATTTTTTTTAAGAAACGCCTTTCTGTAGAATGAATTAACAATCACCC